ATAACCATTCCGAAAGTTACACCGCTCAATTTAAATGGACAGTTAAGCACTACAGATATAGTCAACAAATCAGAATTGAGCATCAATTCCACCTTAAGGATGGGCTATAAGGTTTACAATCTCTATATGTATCTTATTTCAACATTTCAATGAAGCTTGCTTATTTCTTTTTGCAGGATTAATCAGCAAGTCTGGGTGAAAGCCAGAAAACACAGATTCATATTTCTTTATTTTTAAATAAAGATCTTAAAATGTTAACTTTTTGTGTTTGATGTTTATTTCCCTCTGAGTTAAGAAGCAAGAGATTAATCATTTTTATGGTTTTGATTTCATGTGCATGTTCGATGAATTTACTTTGGAAAAACACAACCTGAGGCAAACCTGAGATGGTATATGCAAGTCTTTACAATATTAACTGATTATGATTTTAGGTTACAGTTTCTAGTGTTGTTTTGGCAACAGTTTATCAAAATATATGTTCTTGAGGGTGCTTCTTTCAACAATAAGGACAAAACCAATGCATAATTGTGATGTTATAATTAACATGACCATGACTGCAATGGAAACCATTAAAAATGTGCAGATCAAAACCAATACAAATCTGTAATGGAAACCATTAAAAACGTGTAAACCAAAAACAATACAAATTTGTAATGGAAACCATTAAAAATGTGCAGATCAAAACCAATACAAATCTGTAATGGAAACCATTAAAACGTGTAAACCAAAACCAATACAAATTTGTAATAGAAACCATTAAAAAATGTGTAAACCAAAACCAATACAAATCTGTAATGGAAACCAATACAAACCACTACATTTTAATGGAATATGTCCCAAAACACACTACGTAATGGAAACCATTTGGTAATGGTTTTATTGGTTAATGGCTAATGGTTTGTAATGGCAACATTAGGATTTCTGTAATAGTTTCTATTGTTTTTTTTTTTCAGCAGGGCCATCTCATCTGCCGCAGATACTGAATCAGGACAGCGCGTTTGTCTGAGGTACTTTTTACTCCAACTGTGTCTGACAGAAGAATTTGCTTTTCTGTGGCGAGTCTTACAATTTATAATAAATAGGTTGAAAACATGTATAAAACAACGTTCTTGAACTCTGGAAAGACGCTAAAACCCTTTTTTAATATTATTGTTTTTTATGTATAGTAGCCTACTGGTGGCCGTTGAGAGTTACCATGGCTACCGCGGACACAGCTGCTGGAGAGGTGAGGACAAGTCTGACATTTCTCTGTTTCTCGTCAGTTATACCAAAAAAAGTTCAACAACTGCGACAGATTTGTTAAGTAACATATGTTAATATTACCCGCAGTCTACTTTAAGTACTTTTGTTAATATTTATACCTCTGTGATCACACTGAGTGAAAACAAATAACGATTGCTAGCGGTAGCCTGTTACATTACAGTACATAACATTTTCACTTGAGCACCACTGACAAACATCTAATCTTGTAAAATGTGTGGTAAGTACTGTCGCTCCATAGTATAAAGAAAGTACGTGCGATGGCGAATCTCAAAAGTGAAAGTGAAACTAAAAAGCAATCCTGCACTCAAAAGCAGTTTCAATGCCAGGCATAATAGCGGCTCCCCGATGCCCGCAATTTATATACAGTATAATTACCTAATGATATAACTGAGAGAGAAAGTATTGATTGGGGGGGGACACTTCGCACATTTTTCTAGGTTAGCCTAACATTAGATTGAGAGGTTATGTAAAGTTGCTAATACTTACATATTTCAGATAAGCCATATTTGTGGTGGATGAATGATAGGTGAGCGTTTGGATGTCCTGCCCGATGTAGGCTACTGTATTACCATAGACTAGTCGTTAACGATATGTCCGTCACGAAGTGAATGTATTTATATATATGTACATGTATATGTATATGTCTGTGGCTGTACATACACATATGTAGTTGTTTTTTGATGTTTGGCTTAGTGTTATGTTAGAATCATTATTAAACTCATACCTTTTGTTTTAATATTTTGAATTGTTTTTAACTTTATTTTTTTTGTTTTCATTTAAATGTTTAGTTTTGAAATGTTGTTGTATGCATTTGTCTTTTATTTAATTTATTTTATTTTATTAAATGTGTATATATATAGTATTTATAGTTTTAGCTTTTAGTTTTAATTACATTTTCTTATTTGTAAGTCGCTTTGGATAAAAGCGTCTGCTAAATGACTAAAAGTACAAGTAAAGTAAAGTAAGTACGTGCGTGCGTGGATTTATTTTTTTTTTTGCGACTAAGCGACTAAAAAAAATTTGGTCGACCAAGACTCTTCTGGTCTACTAACGGTTAGTCGACTATTAGGGGCAGCCCTAGTATATATTAATTATTAAATTAACCAACATTGAAATCGACTGCTTCAAAATGCATGCTGTTAATGAAATTGTTGAAACATTTGCCGTTACAAATAAAAACAATATAACAACATAATTGCATAGAGTGAATAACTGTACAAGGTGAATTAGGTATATGCACAAAGAAAGTATAACATTTTATTCCGATTTCAGAAAAAGCACTTTTTCATTTATAATACATTTGTTGAGGATCTTGTCCATCAGATGTTCATCGTGTTCATCGTGTTTTCGCTACTGTAATGAACAGTGTTGGGGGTAACACATTACAAGTAACGCGAGTTACGTAATCAGATTACTTTTTTCAAGTAACTAGTAAAGTAACGCATTACTTTTTAATTTACAAGAGAATATCTGAGTTACTTTTTCAAATAAGTAATGCAAGTTACTTTTTTTTTTCCAATTTATTGATTGACAGCTCTCCTGTCCCCATGTTGAGAGAAATCAGAAGATGTTACTGTAGTTCTAAAATAAATATGAATATGCATTAATTCATCTCACTCACAAAAAAAAACAGATTCAGTATTCCTCGAAATGAATAAAAAGAATGCAACTCAGAATATGACGCAAATCTGCAATAATTAAATGTTAAACAACACAAATATCCTTTATGTACTTAATCCCATTCTTATTGTAATGCATTACTTTTAAAAGTAACTTTCCCCAACACTGGTAATGAATATGATACTTATTTTTTAATAGGCAGGGGAAATTCCCAACATTAAAACAAATAAGCTTTTACATGCAGCACGTTTGCGTTGTAAGAATGTGCAGGAATACTTCAGATATAAAAACACTGACTCGTTTGGTGATGTTTTCTCATTAAGATTGTAAGATTTACTGTTAATTCAATAGAATATATGAGAATACTGTGGTATACCAATATGGTGGTGCAGTGGCTTCACTTCTATGATGTCATCAGTAATCCAGTTCTCTGTTATAGATCAGTGGAGTAAACTTATAATAATTAATTATTACGGTCACATGGACTTAACAGACACACGCACACAGCGGCCATAAAGTCCTCAAAACACATCAGATTGTCTCTAATAAATCACTTTAACTCAAACAACTTGTTTTCATAATCCTCGGAAGTGAAACTCAATCGAAAATAAAATTAATCTCACAGCCCTAAAGTAGGAGAGAAACCTCGCTTCTGGATTGCAAAATAACGAAAATGCGTCAGTGACGAATGTCTTGACATTTTCGCATGTAGAAACGGTTGGCAAGATACAGTTAGCTTGATAATATTCATGTAGCAATAATAAACTGTAAGTGTATTTCCTTCATTTCCCCAACACCAAAAGAAAAACAGTTAGCATTTGCTTTTCGATACTAGTCTTCTGTAATTTAGCCCTAGAGCTCATTTAATACTAGGTTCAGGCATTCATTCCTACTTACAAAAGAAGCAAAGAAGGATCAGTAGCAAAGCTACATGACAGTATACTGTATCTTGCATATGCATTTCCTAAATACATCTTACATGGAAGAATAACATTTTAAAAACAACAGTGAAGAACAATATTAAAAAAAGTGAACCAAAAAAGTGTCCTGAACAAGAACAGTTTGTAAAAAGCGTCTACAAGTAAACAAACTACAACTGATGCATATGCATTATAAGACAATTTAACATAATATGAATTTGTCATAAGAAAGAAAGAAAACACAATGATATCATTTATATCATGAAGCAAGATGGCATTCAAGAATAAAACTTTTTGACATTGTTCTTTGGGGAGGAACTCCCATCTTTGAGTTGATCTGAATCTCAGTTTTGAAGATGAGGATGAACTTTATTCAGTGTGAAAACTTTAGATAATGTTTCTTTGTTATGTCGCTTGTTATGACTGGTTAGGACAGATTTATCCAGATGATATTTTACTGCTTGATGCATTATTGTGTCACATTTGTTGAGGACGCAGCAACAGATCTGTGCTGGATCTGAAGATGATCTACTTAAGGCTCATCCACACGAAGCCAGAGCTTTCCCTATCCAATCTTTTTTTTCTCGTTCTTCCATAAACACAGCGTCGTCTCAAGAAATATCTGCGTACACACTAAACCACTGAAACTGACTCAAAATGATGTCGTTTTCATGCCAGACCAATATGTGGCGCTGTAATTCTGCCACAGAGATGCACTAAAAACTGAGAAGTCTTGGAGCATGTGCATCAACATTGTGCGCAGTATACAAACCCAACACAATAACAAGAAAAGCAAGTAAAGTTAGTAAAGCTAATAGGCTTCTGCAGCACGAACACAAGCATGCAGTCCGCCACTGTTGTTATTGTTACATGATTTAGCGGTGTCTGATTGGGGTCAAGACGTGGGGTGATGACATTATCGTTTCACAAAATATACGGATTGGCTGTACACACAAAACACAAATGTGTCATTTTCAGATTTATTCACTCTGGGACCCGGTTTCAAAAAATAGCAGTTTCAGGCTCCCAAAACGCCTGATCCGTCTGGACGAAACGGCAATATGATACACAATTTTTTTACGTATACAGCTAAACGTGTCTCTGTGTGTACGGGGCCTTACTGTGATTGTTTTTTGTATGACTGTGTATAGCAGATGATTGATTGAAACGCTTCCCAGATGCAGTGGAGTGATATGGTTACGCTCCAGTGTGGATCCTCTCATGTGTTTTCAGAGTTGTTGAATGACTGAATCTCTTGTCACAGTGTGAACACTTATAAGGTTTCTCTCCAGTGTGGATCCTCTCATGAGTTTTCAGAGTTGTTGACTGACTGAATCTCTCGTCACAGCGTGAACACTTATAAGGTTTTTCTCCAGTGTGGATCCTCTCGTGTGTTTTCAGAGTTGTTGACTGACTGAATCTCTCATCACAGTGTGAACACTTATAAGGTTTCTCTCCAGTGTGGATCCTATCGTGTCTTTTCAGATTTGATGAATGACTGAATCTCTCATCACAGTGTGAACACTTATAAGGTTTTTCTCCAGTGTGGATCCTACTGTGTCTTTTCAGATGTACTGACTGACTGAATCTCTTGTCACATTGTGAACACTTATAAGGTTTCACTCCAGTGTGGATCCTATTGTGTCTTTTCAGATGTACTGACTGACTGAATCTCTTGTCACATTGTGAACACTTGTAAGGTTTCACTCCAGTGTGGATCCTCTCGTGTCTTTTTAGGTCTCCTGAATCACTGAATCTCTTGTTGCAGTGTGGACACCTATAAGGTTTTTCTCCAGTGTGAATCCTCTCATGCAGTTTTAAACAGGTCGCTGAAGTAAAAGTCTTTTCACACTCAAAGCACATGTACTCTCCCACAGCAGTATGTATTTTCTGATGTTCTTTCAAATTTTGTAGACGCAAAAAATTGTTACCACACAAATAACATGAATGTGCCTTCTTCTTTGAATGAACTTTCAAATGTTTCTTCAGAACTGAAGCCCATAGAAACATTTTACCACACTGATCACATGCGTGCTGGTTCTCTCTAGCGTGGATGTTCATGTGATCATAAAGGTGTGCTGATTGTGTGAAACTCTTCCCACATTGATCACAAGTGAATGGTTTCTCTCCAGTATGAACTCTCATGTGACGCTTAAGATTTGTTTTACGTGTGAAACTCTTTCCACACTGAGTGCAGGTGAAAGATTTCTTGGGTCTTCTTTTCTTTAAATCTTTCTGTTTGGTTTGAGAGCAACTCAAATGTTTTTCTCCAGTTTTGACATGATTTTTCTCCTCAACTTCACTTGATTCTTTATTCTCCTCATTTTCTTCAATCAACTCTGAAATAAAAGTAAAAAATGGTTCATTTTCAGTATCTTGTAAAAAAGCTGAGAAATGTGGACATAAAAGTGAACCCTGATGTAACAGTGCAGGGCTCCAGAATAACATTGAGAGCAGCGCCACCAAGTTCTACAGATGGTGGCACCAGAAGCAGATTTGGTAGCACTGAGGGGCTGGTGTGTGAGGTATCAAAAATACAGACTTAAAATTACTACTGTTTTGCATCAATAAGTGCAGTTACAAATAATATCACGTTTATTTCTTGGTAATACACATTTGACAGTAAAGCACTGAACTTGAGTTGGGAAACATACAAAATTTACTTTTATTAACATCAGTGACGTGCAAAATCTAATTTTCATATAGAAAAATGTATTGTATTCTACTCTTACTAAATGTACCAATATTCTTCTATAGTATTCAGTAATCAGAACGCAGATATTATGTGCCACCGTTATTAAAAAAGGATTTTTTACACGGCACCCCGGTTGGGAAACACTGGGTTAAAATACACGTTATTGTGGTCGCTTCATCCCGCAGACATGAAAAACAATCCCGCGGCAAGAGTGATAAAGTAGCTGTGTAAGTGAATACTTACTGTGATTGTTTTTTGTATGACTGTGTAGAGCAGATGAATTATTGAAATGCTTCCCACATGCAGTGCAGTGATACGGTTTCTCTCCAGTGTGAACCCTCTCATGTGTTTTCAGATGTCCTGAATGAACAAATCTCTTGTCACAGTGTGAACACTTATAAGGTTTCTCTCCAGTGTGGATCCTCTCATGTGTTTTCAGAGTTGTTGACTGACTGAATCTCTTGTCACAAACGTGAAAAACTCTTTCCACACAAATAACATGAATACGGCTTCTCCGTTGTATGAACTGTCAGGTGTTTCTTCAGGACTGAAGCGCTCAAAAATGTTTTATCACATTGATCACATGAGTATAGTTTTTCTCCAGTGTGGATGTTCATGTGTTTCTTAAGGTGTGCTGATTGTGTGAAACTCTTCCCACATTGATCACAAGTGAATGGTTTCTCTCCAGTATGAACTCTCATGTGACGCTCAAGACTATATTTGCTTGTCAAGCTCTTTCCACACTGAGTGCAGACGAAAGATTTCTTGGCTCCTCTTTTCTTTAAATCTTTCTGTTTGGTTTGAGAGCAACTCAAAGGTTTTTCTCCAGTGTTGACATGATTTTTCTCCTCATCTTCATTCAATTCTTCGTTCTTTTCAGTTTCTTCAATAAACTCTAAAATAAAAGCAAAAACAGTTTATTTGTCAGTAGCTTGAAAAACAAAACAAAAAAAAACAGAAAAATGTGAAAGAAATTGTCTTTACACCAGGGTTCACTTTTATGTACTATCAAAAATGTTGTTCCTTTTGATGCAATTTTATAAATTATACTTCCCTGAAACTTTTCATGAATGATGTACATTGATCTTCAAATTATAATTTTTATAACATTATAGACAATCCCATGTTTCTATAAGGAGAACTATTAAATATGTTTGATCAACTACAAAATTCTCTAACATACATTTTGTTGAAAAAAAAGCATCCTTTACAAACTAAATCTAAAACTGCAATGGATGTGTCCTTTCTCTGCCCCTTTTATCAAGGATGCATCAAGAGTAGGGTGACCATAAAGGCCATTTTTACGGGACGCGTCCTTGCCAGGATTTCTATATTGCCTAAAATATCCAGGTTTTGGCTGTTTGCACTGTGCAGATCAATCGTTGTATGACAATCACGAGAGCTATAGAGAGCAGAGCAGACGGCTCCTTATGCTTTCGAATCACTCTCGCGGTACTTTGGTGTCATACAATGATTGGTGCAACGACACCAAGTCGAACGAGCTAACAAACACGTGTGCGTATTTGCTTCGCTTTGATCGTTCTCTGTAGATCTCACCTTCTCACGCGCCACGATTGGTTGATTATGTATAATACCGGCATGTTATTGGTCAAACTACTTTGGATGTTTTAGGCAATATAAAAATCCTAGCCAGGACATGTCCTGTATAAATGGCACATTTGGCAACCCTAATCAAGAGATGACTTGTGCGAACTTGAGGCAGCCAGGTATCCCAGAATGCATTTTGCACCAACCAGCGAGCGTTAATGGCGGAGAAAACCCACGTAATTTTCAAAATATTAATGTTATTGTGCCATGAAATGTAGTTTTAAGAGTATTTCAGGCGAGAATGTAGTTGTTTAAAACTCAAATCTGCAGTTTATTTATAAAGATAGCGCCTATTTAAAAATGTGCTTCGCTGATTTCGGAGATGTGTGCTCCAGGAGATCAGCAGGCGCTCAGTTCTCATGTATCCTACGGAGAGCAGCCTACCTCGGCAAGTCCTTCTGACATTTGCCACTGGCTCTGATGTCTCTGTAGTGGTTAAACATGAAATAAAATTCATTTTGAGTCTATCTAACAGGTAACCTTTGGTCTCATTAATCTATTATTTGTTCCAGATCATAGTATCGTTTTGGCTAATCACAAAGTTATGTTTCATATTTATATATTTATTTTATTTAATCGTAGTACAGTGCTGACTTTGTAGCATACGTTTGACTGAATTGTTTGCTTTTGTCTTTATTTCCTATTACATATGTCTCTTATACTTTATATTTATACTTGTATAATGCCTATTATTGTTCATTAAAACTGATAGGCTATTTAAAGAGCAGGTCATATGGGTTTTTGAAAAATATCTCTTTTGCAGTTTATAACGTAGCTAGCTATCCTTAAATGAAAACAGTCACTGGGTAACACATTTGCATAATCCCCACCTGCCCGCGAGTCTGACCTGCCCACAAACACTTCCGCTAGTTAGTGTGTTTACATCATGTCGAGAAGACGCTGTGTTCACGGATACCACAGAAATACAATTTGAACCTTTTGTTGTGTGCTCGTCATTTTACCAAGTACTGCTTCTCTAATCTTGGCTTTTATCTTCGTCGGCTTCTAATCTTCTTTGTTTGGACTAACAAGCTCTCCGAACCACAACCTGTAAGTATGATTGATACGTCATGTGTACATTTTCAATTGAGTGCTCAAAATATCAAGTTTTTTTGCTAATATGTGATGTATACCTTTATGTATAGCTTTAGGTTTTCAGGTAAAGCACGATATTACTGTCTCACTGAAATTATTTTCCAAAGAATGTGTCGATTAATGTAGACTGACGTTGTTCAAATAATTACTTTGTTTAATAATAAAGAATGTAGTGTAGCGCACAGACTTTATAATCATTGTAAAACTGACATTTATTTTGCTGCACCAGCAGTTATAGGGTTAATGCGGGAGAGATGAGCGAGTTAGTTAGGCTGGTGCGCCTGTGATACAGCTGTTCTGTGTTCTGATTAAAAGTTAAGACA